CAAAAGTTTTACAGGCCTGTGTTCTTCCTTAAAGGCACACTGACTTTAAGAATATTTATAAGAAGCCATGCTAATAAATTCCACTCTTTGTTTCTCCCTAATGATGTGTGCATCTGAGACAAAGCAGTGAAATCCATAGCGGTAGCCAGGTGCTAATGAATGGCTTACATTATGCTGTCCACTAATTACTACCGCACCATAAATAAAACACAAGACAATCAATTAGCGGTAGACGCGTGTTTGTTAGTCATGGGCAGCAAGTTCCTCCAGGCCAAGGCTGTGCAGCAGAGCTGCCTCTTCAGGGTGTCGTTTTGAAATGGATAGGATGTTCAAATAAATCACATTTTCACTGTTACATATACACTTCGGGCGTTCCATCTCTACTCTCAGAGATTACAAGTAAATGAATATCTACACAGTTTCAACTGAGCGTTGAGAAAAAAGTTAAAATGCACACGGAGCAGAAAGTCCTTTCCACTGAATTAGACAAAAGAAATCCAACAAGGGGGCTATCATCCCTCTGTTTTTTTTTAATGGAGCTTTGCAAAAAGGCTCTGTCCTCCACTTCACACAAACCTCCTCCAGTTTCCCAGACACCAACTGGCTGACGTATCGTACTTGATTTGAACCAGAGCAGGGGAAATCAGAGTGCATTAACACTGCATGTAGAAGGCTCTAACTGAATGATCTTAGCATTATGCGGCCTCTGGCCCGGCCTATCTGCGTAGTTTGATGCATAATTTGAGCATTAATGTAATTTCCATTTTAACACAGTCCCAAAAGTAAACTGATTAGTTGATAGTTATCTGCTAATGTGCCAAGAGACGCACATGTCACTTGCATGCAGGCGGGGGGACAGGATTACACATGACAAGGTTGGCCTTGCAGGAGCACAGACAAAGAGGCGATGCCTGCCAAAAGGATAGACACCAGACAGAGGCAACACACACGCACACGCACACACACACACACACACACACACAATCAATGAATAACACAAACTCTTGTGAGGTAAATGGTTGTCGTTGAGGTTTGCTAGTGTAGCATTTCTGTCAAACAGGATCAATCTTTCTTCTTTATTTTCAAGGACCTTTAAACAGACCAAAAAGGTGAGAGAATCATAACAATAAATCAGGAGAATACAACCAAAGGTTGTCAGTGGTTCTGGCTGTCATTGTGCCACTTGGTAACATCTACAAATATGCGTTTGTGCAAAGGAATCAGGCATCGTATTAATCAATAAAAACATTTTAAAACTTATTAGAAGTCTTTCTGTGCCATCAAATGTCTTTTATCTCTGTCCCAGCAGAGTTACTTAATTTTCCTGGGACAAATTAGGGCCCCTGTAGATGACGGAGGTGCTTTAAAAAATAGGAACAGAGTTACAGTCCCATGATGCAAAGCTCCCAATGGTTACATCTGTTCCATTCTTTCATCGTTCTCCATTGTTAGGTGGGAGCTGTCACATTAGGAGGAGAATTGTGTCTCCTTCTTACCCCCTAGTACCCCCTTCTTTCCATTCCGGCAGTTGGCAGGGTGGCAGGCCCATACAAAGGAGCACGCACCAGCAACGCAGAGGGGAGCACCGTTAGAGGAAAAACAGTTTGGGAATTAAGGTCATTAATTTTCCACTTTAAAGGGCTGCCACACAGACGGAGATAAAGTCAGCATAAATATTCCACCGAAGTTTCTCCTGTTTTTCTCCTCTCCCCATTTTCATCGGCAGCCCATTTATCTCCATGCTGTCAATTAGAGGCAAAAGCAAAGAACTAATTAGGAACTGTGCAATTTTAATTAGCTGTTTTGATAATTAAACTAATTGGTTCCCTTGTGTTTCTGCAATGTGTGCTGAGAACTTTTTTGATATCTGGGCAGCAGATTTCCCATCCGCTGGTTAATTAGTCACTTTTGCATTAAAAAGGAGCCTTCCTTAATAGCCTTAATTTGCAGTTGAAAAGAGAATCTACCATCAATAATTTGTGTAATTGGTAACCGTTTGATTGTAATTTAGAGGCACGGCCGGACAGCCCGGCATGTCTAATTCCTAATGACTAGGATTAAAGTTGGATTAACTATTTGGGGAAGGGATTCACTCTGGTCTCTTTTCTACCCACCAAATGACACCTTGTCTACCGTTTGATTGGTCATGAAATTCAAATTGACTGTGTGAACAACAGGGCTTACACCATTCCTATTACCATCTATATGGTGAGCCTGGGAGGTTACCTCAAAAATATTTAAATAATTCCTGTTTTCCGCATACCGTCTCAGGACCTCCATGAGGAAGATAATAAAAAGATGTTACAATTTATTATGCAATGTGTTTAACCTCTGTGTCTAACCTATCGAACCCATTTGTTTACAATTCTGGAGGGGAAACATGGCAGAAATCCGCCACTAGGAGGAGCAGAACCTTGAATCTCTGAGCAATGAAACTTCATTCAAGTAATGGGCAATGCTTTCCTCTCTGAAAATAACATTGCATATTAAGCAGTGTACATTCACACATAAATGAAAATATGCCTTTGGGTTACAGGCCTAAACTCAATGCAAAGATGGTCACATTAGTAGGAATCATTTTGCACAAGTACAAACCAAACTGGTGCAGCAGAAACGTCAGGGTATATAACACTGATGTTTACAGGTGTCAGATTAATGCAATTTGAATATTGCTATAAGCTGGGGAACCTGGACTAAAAGCATATCATTCAACATCTTAACTATCGGGCACCATCTCTGTACTTTTACAACGCACAGCCCCGTCAGTAGTCTGATTAAAAAGCCCCATTCATCCCACTTAGCCAGAATACAATTAAGGGACATGGCTTTAAAAGCCCAGCCCTGGAGCCTCTCCCCTTCCCACATAAAAGGAGCACTCTGCACTGAGCCTTGCCTGTAAATATCATGTTTGATATGAGGTTTTAATCTGCTTAGCCATTCTGGACTATAGAACGGGCTCATCCTCTCTCTGAAACCTCTGTCCAATGGCTGTGTGCCTCAGGACGAATAGGAACACAACACTAGTGCGCTATCTGATTAGGCGGGGTTAATTACAGAGCACTGTTTTGTAGTGGCTGCATTTGAGAGCTGCCCATAAATAGATGGGCATGGCTAATGCATGCTCAGAAATGAATTTTAATTAACTGTGTTTCAGAGAGGCCCACTCAGGGGCATGTTTGTAGTATGTAGTGACCTCCCTGTTGGATGTAGAAGTGGGAAAGGGTCTGTACCCAAGACGCCGTAAGAGGGGCTGAAGAGTACGCCGTGGCATACATGAGCCACGTATCACAGGCGCACACAATGTTGTGTCTTTACTCAAAGGTAATCTGGTAATTTATATTGATGAGAAGCTTGATTGAGAGGCACTCTTCAACCTGTCCAGGCCTTCACATCCGGTCTGTCTCAGTGGAACGGAGACACATGGTCTCCTCAGCTACTCCACTTGACCATATAAGGATCAAATACCAGTGAAGCTGGTACATGAAAGTCCCTCAACGTGATTCTGTAGAACATGTATAGACTCGAAAAACTGAGGTATTGAGTGAGGTAATTGTAGCAAATTCACGGCTCCATCCGTTATTACACACCATTTTCTCACTGAACGGTCTTTCTATATATAGAGGGTTTTTTTCCCCACATTCAAATGTCAAATGGTTATTTGAAGTCAAGCCCCGATGATACTGAACCATTCATTCCTCTTTCATTTCCAGTTTTCTGTGTGATTGGATTAATTATGTGCCAGTCACTTTGCCAGAGGTCAGCAAACATACATTCTCGGTCATAAGTCATCAATCCATGTGACCGTGGAGATGAAAAGTCAAGCATGTCAGCCAGGACGCTGGACAGAACTGGATGGGGCCATTGATTTCAGGGCCAACCCAATCTCACCACAGCATGCTGCCTTGAGAACTGGAATGATCCCTAAGGGCTATGTACCGTCAGCTTTATACCTTAGATTTGTGGCGCATGATCACATTAGTGGGGTCTATGAAAAAGTTATTTCAAATTCAGGTAAAGATAATTATCAAATGGAAAAGCACGTGAGGTCCATATGTAGTACTCCGATTAAAGAAGCTATTAAAATGGGGCAAAATGCTTTGACTCAAAATGGATGGACAAGACTATATTCTCTTTGATATAAAATTGATTGATAGCAAGTATTACAACAATACTTATTGTATTCATACGTATTGTTATTTGAAAAGAGAGTAGGTAATGATAATATCCGCGTGGTGCAAAATATAACAGAAGGCAAGGACAGGCTGAGCAGCTCACGCCACAGACAGCCTGCCGGCTGCTGACGGACTAGCATTATTGTAGCTATACTCCACTCCACTCTGCTAAATGGCTAATCTTTGTTGGATCTCACCCTTAATTGGTTAACAGTCTCCGCAGGGCAAGTGAAAGTGGTGCTATTTAAGGCTCCACCATGAAACAGCAACACTTTCATCTTGGCAATAACACGCAACAATTATATTACCAGATCCGAAACTGAACCTTCTATCTACCCACTAATCAAAAAACGCAGCCCATCTGTTGTGCGGTCTCTTTTGAAACGACTGTTTATCTGCTAGTATGATAACTGTGTCTGGACACTAATTAACTGCTAAGTAGACCACAATTAGATGTTATTTCTATTAAATTCTGCAGGGGGGGAAAAGTAAGAAAAACAATGAGAGCATTTAGTGTTTACTCCAAACTGTACCAGGCACCAATGGGGCAGCATCCCTCTCTCTCTCTCTCTCTCTCTCTCTCTCTCTCTCTCTCTCTCTCTCGCTCTCTCTCTCTCTCTCTCTCTCTCTCTCTCTCTCTCTCTCTCTCCTCCTCCTCTCTCTCTCTGACATACGCGCACCCGCGTCCGTGCACACGTGCATCAATACAACCTGACGTGCATGCGCGCTCCCTCCTGCTTTATCACGCACGTTCAGACTGTCAGGCAGATTCCACGCACTTGCACGCACACACACACCCACCCGCACGCACGCACGCACGCACTTTCCCTTAGCTGTGCTTTTGTGTTTTGTCAGAATTAATGAGAAAAGTTCCCTTGCCCTAGGGGTAATTAGTGTCCTTGGAGTTAAATAAGCTAATACTTAGACACCTCTGGCACAAGCAATTATGTTTGTGTATTGAATAATTGATTCAAAGAGGGGGGAAGGGCTGCTAATCAGATCTGAGCATAATGAATTGATTTAATTAACAGGGGAATCCGAGGCTCTGTGGAAACTGCGCGCATTTATTCAGCAGCAGCCGAGGCGAGCGCGGCACACACACCGGCAGGGAGGCGGCGTGAGTTCGCTTTTAGCAGTTGTCAGATTTGCAATTGGATTTGTTTGAATATAGTTGCCGTCTCGGAGCAAACGAGAGCGAGAGGGGGAGAATATTAGCAGCGAAGCAGAAGCCGTTCGGTCCGAGCGTCCTGATCCGTCCGCGTTTCCCGAGTCACAGAGAGGCGACTCTAGATTTATATCGCTTTTCATTGTTTTGCCTTTTTTTTTTTATTCGCATGGAATTTATCAAGAGCGACCAACGCTGTGTGATCGCGGTTTATTTGCCTCGCGGTTCAGTCCGGATAGGAGCATCTCTCCGCGTATCTCGCCGTATTCCGTGTCCGAATTATTATTGATAGGAGGAGAAAGAATAAACGGGCAGACGGCAATTCATCTTTCCAGGTTTTTTTTTTTTTTTTTTTTTTTGGTCTATCGAGGCGTAGTCTAGTAACGTTAGTCAACCGCGCGGGTTTAACAAAAACAAACACACACAACAACAACAACACATTTTCCAGGAGAAGCTTGAGGGGAACCGAGCGGTGCAGCCCGCTGGAGCCGAGGACGGATCGCCCGGGGAAGGACTCCTCGTTCCCCAGGACGATGGTGTTGGACAAGGAAGAGGGTGAGTAACGTCTCCGGCCGCAGGATACGCTGGACCCCGGGCAGCAACACGGGGGAGGAGGTGGAGGAGGTGGTGTAGGTGCGGGGGCACAACTACTGACGTTATTAGTGTTTTTGTTACGCGTGAAGTGCCTCCCGCGTGCCTCACCCGCGACCTCCGCTGCGCGCGAGCTTTTCCGCCCGGTGCAGCCGCGTCGGGCTCCGGGTTTTTTTTTCCCCCTGGTCCGAACGCAGAGGCGGCTCTCTGTGCAACGAAGTTAAGGTTTTGCACTTATCACGCAAACAGCCCCCCCCTCCTCCTCCTCCTCCTTCCCCCCCTCCCCAAGTGCCAAACTGCTGTTTAGTTCTGGGGGAAGAGTTGCATGTGTATTTTAGAGCGGATATTCGTCTGGTGCGTTTTTTTGACGCGTAACCCCAGAGTTCGAGGATACCCAACAGACGCTGCAGTGCATGTGGCTCCTCTTTTCTTTTCCCTCCTCTTAAGTGCTTTTCGCGTCTGTGAAGTTAGCGAGGCAGCCTTTGACATCACCGCGGGATGGGAGATGACAGCGGAGTGCTTTTAACTTGATTGCAAATTATGGATAGCACCGCGCGGCGTTCACTCGCTTTCCATCCAAATAGGCCCGCTCGCATTACTTATCTATTTCAATGTATTTAGGTTAATGGGTGAGGCAATTTAATTAATTTAAATTTAAATCAAACTCTGCTCTAATGGTGTCCCATTTTGGATAGAACTGATGTTGAGATGTGCAGTGCGTGTATCACATTGAGGTCTAAACTGTGCTCAGTGCTTATGCATTTAAATATGTGTATGCAACAAGATGATAATGTGCTATAATTAGTTGCGGAGGCTTCATGTGGTCTGAAATGAAGTCATTTTCTGATGTTTTTCTTTGAATAAGGAGTATTTTTAGGATTGTTTTGTTGACTACCTGCTGAAATGCACAATGACAGCCTCCACAAACCTTTTGCACATTTTACTTCCCCAATGGCTCCTCCTGTTCTAAAAGTAATGGATGCATTTGTGACCCTGAATTTGTATTTGAAAATTGATATTTCATATCTCATAGCAGAGCATCCTTTCACTTACACATCTAAAAACCAATAAAAGAACTGCGGCAGAGACATAAATTAGTCTGTCTGGCTGAATCCATGTAGTGCGGCAAATGTACCCAAATTAACTCAACTGTAAATTGTCTCCTTTGGATGTCTGTCTAGCTAAAAGTTCCTTATATGATTCATGATTCAGATTGCTTTTAACAGTTATTGGCTAAGCAATATGGTAAATGTACAAGGTGATGCAAATGGCATTAGTGGGAAAGGATGCACAGGAGCATGTAATGCAGTCAATACTACATTAACTACTGATGCCCAATTACAGAACCAGGGAGAGTGGCTTTTAGGAGCATTAGGACTTGCAGAAAAGCTGAGATCACCTGCTGCTCATTGCCTAAAAGCTTCACCCTTTATTTGCTGGGCCCGACCAGCAGCTCCAGCAATTCGGCCAGGTTGTCAACAGAGATGCTCGGATCTGGTCTCTTTCATTGTGGAGCCTCTTAGCGTTTATTGGCTCTAAAGTTATAGGCTTGTCAATTCAACCTTCTTGTCTAATGTATCCACTTAGTGCCTGCAAAAATAAATGTGTGCTTATGTCGAGAGGGAAGTGTGGGTCGGTGTTTAGGGTGGCCACATGGGTGTATGTGTGTGATTACTGCCTGTTTCTCTTGACTGAGTCACTATTATGCCTTTGTGTGTTCGTGCGTGCTGTTAAGTGTCCATATTTCCATCCGTCCATGGCTCATAAAATAGATCTTCAGTGTATCTGGTCTTGTGTTTAAAGCCTGCCATTCTGGTCGGTAGCAGAGTAATGCTCCAAATTGGTATTGAACTCTGACTTCCTTCTGAAAAGTCTGCAACAATGTCTGCAAACAGAGCATTAACCAGAAATCAACTTACGCTCCGTGACCCCTTATATTATTTACTTTGAGACACTCTGCCTAAAGTATTTCCCTGCTGCATCTATTAAAAAGCTTGACATAACATGCGATAACTACTGCCGTCAGTTGATCAAATCTTTCTTATATTTGGCTTCATGTTTCAAGTAACTACACATATTATCATCAGTTACATGCGTATGGTAAACGTATCACCATACTCTCAGATGATGCCCTCTTTAGCTTATAATATACACTGTCTGCTACTGAGGCAGAGAGCACGGAGGAGGACTGTAAACGTAATACAGACGCGGCTTTGTGGGGAAAAAAAACAATATGCAGGTCATAGCTAATGAGTAGCAACACACGTACAGATTCTGTATCAACATTATATTTCACCTTGTGATACGACGGTTCCAATTTTAGAGCAAAAGGCAACTTTCCCATTTTTCTCTCCTTCGTACAGTAGTAACTGCAGTAGAAGCAAGTGGGTCCACGCCCAAGGCATAATTTTGCTGAACATTAACACAACAACAGTAGACCTGAACAGAAGAATTATCCCCCGGCTGCTGATGCATTTCGAGTTACCTTTGCTTGTCAATTTATGATCCTGTTATCATCCCGTCCAGTGAAATTTGTACATTCATAAAGCATATGATTGAAAAGCAACGCTTCAAATGAATACAGACCGGTGATCTGTCGACTGCTGTAATAAAACTTGGGCTTCGGGCTCCAATTTTTATTTTGAAATAATAAGAATTGCTTCATTCTTTACCAGCGTTACCATGGTAATGCTGTCTGCTAGCGATGCTATATTGATTTAGAAAGTGGACGGTCATATTTCTTTTCTGTTATTTGGTTTCTGAGGGTTGATTTCTAATTTCCAGTTGGAGATTACTTTTATATGTTCCTTAAGTCTTTTCTCTTCTCCAAAGGAATGCAATTTACTCCCCTGTATGTGCCATTTTCTCAGCTTATTGGTTTGCTCTTGCTGCAAAATTAAACTTGCCCAATTCAAATATTGAAATTACGTCTGTTTTTTGTGCTCTGGGCCCTGAATAATATTACAAATACATTGCTTCATTTGATATTTTTCAAGTCGCTATATTTTCTTTTCAAAAGCTGTATTACAGGCACCTGCATTGCCTTTGCAGTACTTATCCAATTTTGTCAGGCACATAGATTGTAAGAAAAAAGGGGGGGGAGGGGGGATTTCAAACAGTATTGAGTGTAACCTGTGTACAATTGAATGAACAAAAATATCCTTTTTTATTAGCAAAACAGCAGAAGAAAGTATACTAAAACAAACCCGAGGGATCCTGATACGAATGTTAGAATTACATTATCTACAGAATTATGCGTTGACATGCAACATGGTTTGCTCTTTCAGTGTATTATACCAAAGTTCTGCTCATTAATTACAATATTTATACCATTTATTGGTCGTAAGTTATCAACGGCGTCTAATCTATTTCTATTACCATAAATGCAGAATTCTTCACTGAAGACTATATGGTTCGTCACCTCAAAACATGTAGATCAATGTTAGTCCTGATCATTTCGCATCTACCAGTGCTTCGGGTGTTTATTCTATAATCTTAGTGGGATACAAAAGGTACTGAATTGAGTCTTAACAGACACGTGTTAGCAAGCGCGCCCAGCCGCCTTTGATGTAAATGGCTGCACTCATCAGTGTGGCAGACAAACTCAATTATGCACTTTTGAGCTGTAAGAGCATCCCTTGCATCATTGCCAGAGGCCACAGCCATGTTATCCCTCAAATTAGAACACCAAGATCTGATTCACATGTATCACAGGAAACGGACGTTCCCCGTTGTGTCATCCATAGGTGGACTCTTTTATTCCTTCTTTAATATTATTATTTTCTCCGTATCACAAATAATTACTAGTGTCTTGCAGAGTTGCCCGTGAGATCAGTGGAGGTTGCAGAAATAGAGATGCCAAATTGAACATTATATGAACAAATAAGAAACTGAGAGCCACAAAGGCATACACACATCAGTCCAAATGTTACAATGAAACCTTTTACAAAAGCAATGAATGTGCTGACAAGTTGAGATGAACGGTTACTTTCAACCCCCTTTGAAACCACCTTGGAGAAACCCAGCGGTTTATCACGAGCTCTGAGACAAATGCAGACACGCACAGAAGTAATATTGTTGTTGTTGCACAGGTGCAAAGCAATTCTTGTGTACAAAGAATAAACCCCAAATGACCTTGTGCATAGTGGAGTTGATGAATAATGCTTTATACATTGACAACATGTAATCCAGCTTTAGTGACATTGACCCACCATATATGCGTATAAATTATATAAAGCTGACTCAAAGCTTTTGACTACACTAATGTTGATGACGGGGAACAAAACAATTGACGGCTTTATAAACACACGCTCACTTGCTGCAAAACCTCAGTTTCTCCGCCGTAAAGTTACGTTTTCACCTGTCTACATATTGCGGGCTCTCTGTTCTAAATTTTTGGCATTTGGGTGAGTTTTGTAAAGCTCACACTTTCCTCTCTGGAAGCGGAGTTATTGTGATGAGCAGACGTCAAAACTACAGCTACAGACGTCATCAGCTATAGTTCTCTGGCAGCTGAGTGCAAGTGTCAAAATAGAAGAGAAGCTTTTATATTCTACCCGCGGTGTCAATGTCACCTGTGACACTCCAAGGCAACGTGAGCACTTTGTACGGTTAAGCATCAGGGGAATTTAAACAAATATTATATAAAGGATTATTATTATCATATTTAAAAGGGTTTTGGACCTAGTAGAAACCGGAATGTTGTATTTTTTGTTTATATATTTATTTCATTGTAATGTGCATTATTAATTTGTGAACTCATAATTTCACTGATGTCTTCTAATGGTTTCTTGGATCTGAAACCAATCTAGAATTATAACAAATCTTAAAATGAGATTCAGCAGATTCCTCATCAGGAATATGTATATACATATACACAAGCACATATATGGAATATATATTTTCATATTTTACAAATTTAAAATACACTTGTCAGTACTTTTGGGGAAAATAACGATTGAGTG